CGATGGGACGGTACCAACGTTTCAGAGACTTAGAAGTTGTTGGTCAATTGGTAAGCTTGGTTTTCAGTGATGAGTTCATTTCGGTGGTTTCTGAGCGATTCATAAGAACGTTTTGAGCAACCGTCTCCATCATGTTGAAAGGGCAAATGAATGATAATTTTGGGGAGTTTGCATCCATGGGGCTAGATTGAGTGTCATATGAATTCATATCCAATTTGATGAAATTTCGATCACGAATATTGAAATGTTCACTGCAGCAATGATTCAGAGCTGATTATCCCCAAAAAAAGATATAGGTGTTTTGCGATCGGTATCTCGACTTGCTCTTCTTTGTGCTGCTACAGTATTCTTTGCTAAAGAAATATTGATAATCTGGTTGGTAAAAGCCTCCGGCAGCGCTGACCTTCCAAATGATCAGTAATTTTCACGTTTTGCTTACAAATCTCTGTCGCATTTCTAGGTGAACGACTACATGGACTTCGAATATCTGGGCTATATCACGATCGGCACCCCGGAGCAACAATTTCGCGTTGTCCTCGATACAGGCTCAGCAAATTTGTGGGTACCTGATTCAAGTTGTGTAAATCCACCCAAATGCTCCAGTTTATGTTCTATTCTAGGTGAGCTTTCTCCGATCAAAATCGACTGATTTTTGTCCATCTGCAACATTTCGTACAGTCCATTCCTATGGTGGTTGTTGCAGATGAATTTTGCAAAGTGCAAAATCAAAAATTGATGAAAAAAATGCTGAATTGATCACGCCATACTTCGACACGGTATGTGTGAGTTGTAGCGTCACAAAAACAATTAGTGCGCCATTGAGCACGCATTGAATTTTTGTTCATTCATTCTCAGATAGCAATTAATTCCTTAACGATAAGCAATGATAACGATTGCGTCTCTAAATAGAGCACTAACAATTTTACGTAAGAATTTCACCAGCCCTATACTTGAATTTTCATTATCCAGATTTAATCTTACCGATGGATCTCCGTTCGCAGTTAAGCTGTTTCAATCCAGTCTTCGCGTCTTGTCTCAACGAGTATTTTTTCAGGACCATTATGTGATCTAACGTGTGAGGTAGAATGCTGTACGGGGTGAGAATTTTCTGTTGTTCATGCTTCTTTTGTTATCTGATTTTTGGCTCACTAGCCACCGGAACGCTCTCGGACAACTGCTGAATGCTTGGAGCTAACACTCCGGGGCGCGCACTGGGCGGAATATCTATTAGGCGAAATGTCAATGGAAGAAATCGTTGTCCACGATATCGTTCAGCAACCAAGCCATTTAAGGCGAGATAAAACTCAAAAAACAT